AGAAAAAAACAAGTATGTACCGTATGCATGCTGAACTTCTTTTGCACCTTATGTAGCGAAGCGTGCTAATCGGAGGCGCCAAATGTGGGCTTCGAAGGAACGAGCGTGGGCCAATGGATGAGATCAGTGACAGAATGGTAGCCAAAGGAGAGGAAACGCGTCCAAGAATACAACCGCCGTGAGGATGGAGAGATGAGATTGGCTCGCGTGCAGGAGCGAGGCGGATCGTGACACCGCGTGACTACGACGAATGGCGACGGCTTCGGATCATGTCCGTTCAGCGGCTGTCAATGACGACGGTGGATGCGCCAACTTGGAAGGAACACGTGCATCTCTCTCCCTCATACCCAGAGTGTCGCCGTTCTAAGTAATTATTTATGTTCGGAAGGAATTCGAAAAGCATCGGACCGGTTTTTGTCGCTGTCACACACAGACGTCGCACGATGATTCTGGAGAGGTCATTCGATAGCGGCTGGGGTCGCCAAATGGATCCCCGCTCCATGCAGAAGCGCGCGTGGTGGCAGTGATCGACGGTTGCGCCGTCGCGGATTTTCATTTCATCACAGTCACAATGAGTGGCTTCCCTACGGACTCACAGCGAGGCTCACAGACTCACACCGGAGACCCGCAGATACTCCGCATGCAGGCCCCGTACCCTTGATCAGGCCCCGTACCCTTAAGACGCAACGCGATGCGAGTCGCGGTTAGCCTCGCAAACGGCTCGCGTTCAGACGCGCACACACGCGCACAGAGACCAATGGACGCGCATAGAGACCCGCACTGTAGAATGCGATGTGCCGTGCAGATGATGGACTGCTCGTCACCGAGGTCACAATGCGGCGGAGGGGGTGGTGGCTGCACCTGGCACGTGCTGTCCTGACCCCAGGTTTTAGTTGCGGTCCAGTGTCTTGGAGATGAGAAGCCACGCAGTTCCGTTTGGGTAACTCGGAAGGATAAACAATCGGTTTCAATTACGGCTGCCGTTTCCTGTGCTAACCCTCGCACGCGCTGGCTACCCGGTGTCACGTGTAACGAATGACAAATGCACGTGCTTCCTCGCCACGCGTTTGACATTTTTCATTGAGCTAGGGGGAGGGGGGGAGTCACGTTTTCTCCACTGTCACCACGAGACCGTGAACTACCACCCCAGCACCAACCCCCACATTCCACCATCACCCCCCCTCCCACCACCATCACCCACCAGCACTACCGCAACCGCTAAGACTATCCACCACCCAGCACCACCAACATCATCACCATCATCACTACCACCATGAACTACTACCAGCCACCAAGGACTACCCACCAGCCACCAACACCATTTGGGGTGGTTGACAGGGCCCAGCGGTCGCGTGTCTGTCGCTTTCTCTAGAGGTTTATGGTTCGAATCGAGGAGGCCGCCATGGTTAATGTTGCGGGTGTATTGGAACTGCAAACATCCTCGCCGTGTGCTTTACAATGGGCATTAACTATCCCCTGATGTTGTGCAAGACGAGGAATAAGCCATTATGTGCTGGCGTCATGGTCCAGATTTGCCCAATTTGAAATACGTGAAACTACTTGCCGGCTATGTCTGTAAGTCATTGCGTCTTGGGATAGCTTCCAGCTGTAAGAATTGGCGCCAATAATCGATCATTTTTACTATACATAATTATTACTAATACCACCACCACCATCACTACACCACCACTACCAAAAGCCATCACCACCACCTCCCACTCTTGTATGTATGTTGAACTTTTTTTGCACCGTACGTAACCAACCGCGCTAATCGGAGGTGCCCATTTACAATGATCCCGAATGTAACAGCAGGCTACTTTTCACATCATTTGCACACATTTTTCAATAGCTCATCTGAGATTATGTTACACTGCGTCTTGAAATACCCAATTAAGCGGCGACTAAGTTGGAATTGACCATGAATAAACCACATTCTCCGCAGGTGTCCGTACAGGTACGACTGCCGCGTGTCATATGAACACGATGAACACGATGAACACGAAAGTGTGCACGGATTGCTCAGTGTGTTCATGAAGGCGAGGTCAGGGACACTGAGTGGGCAACAGTGAGACCCGAGTTCGAAATCCAGGTTTTAACCTGTCCGTGATGAAACTGGGTTCTTTGCTCGGCTGTCATAAGCTGATGTTCTTAGCTCAGTCACAAATGACCACTGACATGTACCCATTATGTCACATTAGTTTTTGTTCTTGTTGTACTTGATTCGGCAGAAGTTTTACTCCGCGATGTTTGACTGTCACGCGATGAACATTTCTCGGTCTCTCTCTCTCTGGCAGGGCGCATGAGGAAATCCGCTCCCTCGTGTGGATCAGACGTCACTTGCCGCGATCTCGGATTTGGTTCTGCGACATCTGCTTCTGCTGGCCACTCTCCGACGCGACGCTGATGCTCTCTGCACGAGAAGTCGCGAATGGGAGCGATCTCAGGGCGCGGTGCAACACCGATACCACGATGTTTTCGAGTACCCACCACGTTTTACGAGGGTGACCCCAGGTGTGTGATTGATTGTACGCAGCACGAGATGCAACGTTCGGACTCAAACGGGTTGAGATATGAGAATAGGTTTTCCCCTTTTTTCTGGCAACAGAACAGGCGTTGAGATGTTAGAACACCGAACTGAAACCTTTTACAAGGAATCATGTAAGCATTAAGCACAATGCCTGTGGTCAGAATGCAGGCTGTCTCTGGTGTGGACCAATCAGTGTGGTTACTGCAGACATGATTCCTCGTGAAAGGTTTCAGTTCGGTGTTTTAACATCTCAACACACCTGTTTTGTTGACAGAAAAAAGGGGAAAACCTCTTCTCATATTTTGGTACTGGAAAAGGAGGTCCCGTGATGGGTTGAGATATCACTGGCCACTGCTAGTCGAGGTCGTAAATCATATATCTGCGTTCGTTTAGGGAGCCCCCCAATTCCCCACTGAGACACACGCACACGCACACACCTACAGCGTACAGTCCACAAAGACAAAGATCCCCGGTATAGCCTAAACAGACTGTTGGGGCAAGTGCCGTTAGCGAGTAGCACCTATGAAGGTCGGCACGGCGCGCGAGGGGGGTTGTTTTGGGCAGCACCACGGCCGGCCGCCTTCGTCTCACACCACACCAGGCACTCATTTGAGGCTGAGTCGACCTAGCGGAGACCCGGGATCGGTTCAGATCATCGTCACTCGTGTTGGCCCTGAGCGGGAATCGAACTCGGCGCGCCGGGTTCGGAGCGCAGCGTGGCGCTAACCGCTGCACCACCGCTGATGATGACCGACGAAACCCGAAGAAGGGTCATTCCCGAAACGTCGGAGATATACGTTTTTTTTCATTGTTTTACCGAAGAAGGAGACTGGCAATGGAGCGGCACGCAACGAAGTGAAGACGCCATAAAGAGCGGAGATGGAGCAATGAAATGGGTTCGTACGGAGCAGCGCGATGGATCGTGGCACCGCGTGATGAGGGATGGCGACGGCTGGAGGTAGTCATCCAGCGGTGGCTAGATCATGGCTGATGTTGGTGACGATTTCGGCGCGTGACACACGAACCGCCTTTGTGCGCCTAAGAATTGGTGATACGAATCGTTGGTTCCCGATTGTTGTAAATTGTTGCGTCGACGTCGTCCTTACGGCTCACGGGACGAACGAGAAGAGGGCAGAGGAGGCAATACAAACGAGATGGACAATGCGAACGAGAGAGACAAAACTGAGCAAACGAAACGGACAATACAAACGAGATGAACAATGCAAACGAAACAGACAATACGAACAAGACAGTATTATTAGTTATTTCGGTAAAGTCACGTAGAAGGGAAACAATAAACACCTGGTGATGATTGCTTGTGTTGCAGTCGAAACGTCGTGAGAATTTTATTGTTTTATATTTTTATTATTTTATTGTTTCCCCTCTACGTGACTTTACCGAAAGAACCAAGAATATGAATCCCTGCATTCACGAAAGAAGTTTTAAATCAAAACAAGACAGTGTCATACGCTTTGGTTCTTTCGGTAAAGTCACGTAGGCATAAAATAAAATAAACCACGGCGTTTCGGGCGCAACACAAGCGTCCATCATCACCAGTCGAATCGGTGCGAAAGAATTCCATCGACTCATACCTCGAATTGTCACCACGACTTGTGCGACGCTCCCCATGGATGTGCGGTGATCAAACTATCCATCACACGCATCACCCATCACACCTGTCAGACGGGCGCGCGTGACACTGCGCACGTGACACTGTCCGCGTGACAATGCACGCGTGACAATGCGCACGTGACACCGTCCGCGTGAAGCTGCGCACGTGACACTGTCCACGTGACAATGCACGCGTAACAAGGCGCGCGTGACACTGCGCACGTGACGCTGCGCGCGTGACACTGTCCGCGTGACACTGTCCGCGTGACAAGGCACGCGTGACAAGGCACGCGTGACACTGCGCACGTGACACTTTCCGCGTGACAATGCACACGTGACGCTGTCCGCGTGACACTGCACGCGTGACGCTGCGCACGTGACACTGTCCGCGTGACAATGCACGCGTGACGCTGCGCGCGTCACAATGCACGCGTGCGCTCGCCCGTTCAAATGATTCCCCGCCCGACAAAGACCGCTGGGCTCTTTCTTACCCCCTGCGGCTCCACACCTCGGCCCCGTCGCACGCAAGTTTGAAACATCGTTCGAGAATGCAAATAAAAAATGTTCTCCGGTAATGTTTGATTTGTTTAAAACCAAATCAATTCCACGAGGTGGCTTAGAGCGCCTATCACGATGACGATGTAACGCAGCCCTGGTCGCGTTCTCTGGGTTTCGTCTTTGTCTTCAGCCCGTGCCAAACAACTCTCTCGTCCTCGCCACCCAACGCCGGCGCGTCTTCACCAGTTTACCAATTGCATTTTGTTGTTGTTGTTCCGTTGAAGGTACGGACACATTTCACCGCGACACGCCGAACGCGCCTGACGATTACGAATTCGTGTTGTGCACGCGAGCGCGCGGGTACCTGATTTGTGAGCGGCACGTCAACTCGACTTGACACTCGACTCCACCAATTCGCAGTCGAAAAAATAAAAAATAAAATAATAATAACGACCTCTACGCTTCCTGCGTGCGCGTGTGTGCCTCTCTCTCTCGCGCGCGTCTGTGTTTCAGCCGTGCGAGAAAGCCTGGAAGGGCATAAATAGGTGGTCGCCGATTTACGTAAACACGTGGGCCATGCCCTAAAACTCTGCTCCTCCTCTTCCTCCCCTGAGACCCCCTCCCTCCCCACTGCCCCGCCGTTTCTCACCTCCAGCTCGCTCGTTCTGCACATCTCTACCCCCATCATTGACAGCCACCGCGAGTCAAATGTCATCTCGCCCTCCCAGCGCTTTCCCCCTCCCTCCCCTCTCCTCGCAACCCCCCCCCCCTCGTCTCCCACTTCGTCCGTTAACGCGGCGAGGCACACGGAGTGTGCAATTATACTGCACGGCACAAGAGCGTGTTTATTGGGATTCGTGTGTACGGTTTAGCTTGTGTCAGCGGAGGGTTCAGATGAAACGGCGCTCGCAACAACGAGCGGAGCGCCGGGCGGATAAAACGCAGTCGGCTGGCGCAGTGGGTCGCTCAGGCGGTCCATCCTCGATGCATCTCAGTCAGTCAACCCATCACACCTGGGGTCTGCCCCGCGAGCGCTAGGTTCGTGACGGACGCTGCTGGGAAGTTGGAGGCAGTCGTACTCCAGTGAACAACGGAGGGCAGAGGAGCTCAGCTCACAACAACGAGATGGAGCGACGGGCGGATGAAAGCGCGGAGAGTTGGCGCAGTGGGGAGCACAGTTGGTGCATCTGCCAGCCGTCTCAGTTAGTTGACCCGTGGCACCTGGGTCTGGTCCGTGACCTGTGACACTTCAAGCGTTGCACCTCAAAGTGCACCTAGCATGGCACGAGCACTGTGGTGACGTCACCGCTATTGAGTGGTAAATGACGGCTGATGTTCTTGTCGCCCGTGAGTGGCACGTGTGTACACACACACACACACGTGTATGAAACCACGTGTGTGTGTGTACACGTGTGTGTGGGAGCGGTGGTGTAGCGGTTAGCGCGCTGCGCTATGAACCTGGCGACCCGGGTTCGATTCCCGCTCACGGCCAACACCAGTGACGATTATCTGAACCGGTCCTGGGCCTCCCCTAGGTCGACTCAGCCTCAAATGAGTACCTGGTGCGGAGTGTAAACATCGCCACTGGGTAGACAAAGGCAGTCGGGCGTGGTGCTGGCCACCCACCCCTTCGTGTACCGTTTCGGCCTTCATAGGTGCTCGCTAACAGCACTTGCCCCTACAGTCTGTTAAGGCTACACGGGGGATCTTTGATCTTTGTGAGTACACACGTCTTTATCAATGTTTCCATTCCGTGGTCTCGTTATTCTTCACCTGCCTCGCCGTGACGACGTGACCTGTCCCGAGCACACTTAAACAGTTTCAATCATGTAATGAACCCCCTTTGCGCGGTGTAAGAGCCGCATTAGCAGCAGCAGTATGAATGTTGGGGGGCTTGGGGGCTGGGGGGGGGCTGATTGATATCACAGGTCGGTGTCACGTGTCTCCCTCCCCTTACGTGCCCTTTAACTCAATGACGTGCCCCGGCCATCGCCTTGTCTGGCCAGTGAGACCACGGGGTCTGTGGCTAAAGTTAGAAACGGACAGCCACCGCCTGCCGAGCGATGTCCTTTTGCTATTATTTACGAGCATTATGGAAAAAAAAAACATGGGGGAACACAAACAACGTGAAAATATTCGTCTATTTAAGCCTTTGTGCCGGCTCGCGATGTGCGACTATCCCCGTGAAAAGTGAGCCTCGTTATTTTGGTGACGCTGGCTGCCGCTTTCGCTACTTCGGCAGGTTGGCGCACAAGCCCAATCGTACTGGGTGAGAAGAAGAAAGTTTTGCTGGCTGGCTGGCTGGCTCGAGGGAGGGCACGGACGAAAGGTCACGTCCACGGGACGTTCAAGATGATAATAATAATAAGCTCAGCACGCTCAAGAACACTGCCTTTAGAAGATGATGTGCCACATACAGACACATTTGCAACTGCGATTGGAAACTATCTTTGAAACTATCCACCGAAATCGATGACTTGATTATGAAGTGCAATGTAATCGACATTATTTTCTTGAATTATTGTTGTTGGTTTGCTGCTTTGACCAAACTCACCTTTGATGTTGACACATCTACAACAATTGTATAAACAGTGGTAGCCCGAACTGCGTCTCCCCATTTTACGTCGTTTCTCAAACGCGTCGTCGCTTTATCATTAATACCACTACCCAGATGTGCGTCGACTCAATCCCATACTTACGTCGCTGACAGCATCATCATCCCTCCTTTCTCGTATCAGTCGCCTCTCAGCCTTCGCCTCCACCACCACCACTTACCCTGTGAAATCGCCTTGATCGACGTCGTTTCGATATTCGTCGTCGCACCTTTCAGGAACGCATCCCGATGTAAACCTGGGTATTGCTGCACTAGTGCGACGCGTACATCCATGTAATGCTATATCTTCATTTATTTACTCTTGACGTGTTTAACCTTTGTCTTACTCTCGTACCCTTTATGCTACTTTTTTTTTGCTCATGTAACTTGCTGACCCGCCCTGACTGGACATCTGTGAAATAGAACTCCATAGCTCATCAGATTTCTCCAGTATAAATAAACATTCTGATGCTGATGTGCGTCTTGTAAGGCAGCCAGTGTACGTTTATTAAACTTCTTTCGCGCCGTACGTAGCCTACCGTGCTAATCATAGTTTTCGGGGGAAGGACAACGAACTAAACACAAAAATCAGTTCTAAATAAATGAGTTTTCAAATTAGATTTAAAATGCATCGCCCCAGTGGCTTCCTGATATAGGAAGAGCGTTCCAGACGGCCACGGAAGCCCATCTGCTAAGCGAGTGATGCAGTGGTCGTCTTTGTTGGATGGTTAGTGGCTGTTGGCGAGTGCATTTGAGTTGTTTTGCTCCTGGTTTGGTTGGATGAGCAAACGGAGCAGTGTTACATGTTTAGCTACAGAGGGGGCAGGCGTACGTGGCGATCAGATATTAAAACAATATTTAAACCAAGCATTAGTCGAGATGAGTTCCGTGTTAAAGTAGATTTTACTCTTAATTTCGAAAAAATTCTGGCTCTGGAATTTGGCTCTGAAATGTGCGTTTGAACGTTCCCGAGTGTGAGCAGAGCAAGTTGGACAGTGCTGCCACCTAGTGATGGACGAGAGGTCACTGTTAGGGGTCTCGCGAGTAGTTGGGTCATATCTGCTTCCGCGGACTTTTTTCACAGCAACGTGGTGGTGTTGTTGTTGTTGCACTGCAAGAGTTCCGAATGGATTCTTCCGTCCCGTGGCGAGATGCCGAGAGCACGAACCGAGTTTAATTGTGAACCAGATAATAACAACAATACTAACAATATGAATGCAAGGCAAACGAAACATCTCGATGGTTACATATTTTAGAAACAATTGTTTCCCCTACTCGTCGACCTCGTTGTTGACACTGACTGAGCGTCGGGCGTTAACACTGAACGCGAGGAATCATAAACCCGCTGAGGTCTCTGCTTACATTGCGAGTTCAAATCCCGACCTAAGGTTCAACTCGCGCTGTTAAAATAGGAACCGGGCTGTGGGTGGTCAACAGTGCGTATCGTATGAATAGACTGGCCCCTGTCACAGTAACGTGCCATTTCCACCACTGGCTCGGAACTACTAACAATGCTCAGCTATTGGGCGTCAATGCAATCATGTTATGGACTCATCATAAGCATCATCAGCCATGGTCAATCCACTGGTGGATCAAGGCCTATCCAGGCCTCCTCCAGCAGCATCACCATCAGCCATGGTCAATCCACTGCTGGATCAAGGCCTAACCAAGCCACCTCCAGCAGCATCACCATCAGCCATGGTCAATCCACTGCTGGATCAAGGCCTAACCAAGCCACCTCCAGCAGCATCACCATCAGCCATGGTCAATCCACTGCTGGATGAAGGCCTAACCAGGTCACATCCAGCAGCATCACCATCAGCCATGGTCAATCCACTGCTGGATCAAGGCCTAACCAAGCCACCTCCAGCAGCATCACCATCAGCCATGGTCAATCCACTGCTGGATGAAGGCCTACCCAGGCCTCCTCCAGCAGCATTACCATCAGCCATGGTCAATCCACTGCTGGATGAAGGCCTAACCAGGTCACCTCCAGCAGCATTACCATCAGCCATGGTCAATCCACTGCTGGATCAAGGCCTAACCAAGCCACCTGCAGCAGCATCACCATCAGCCATGGTCAATCCACTGCTGGATCAAGGCCTAACCAAGCCACCTCCAGCAGCATCACCATCAGCCATGGTCAATCCACTGCTGGAAGAGGGCCTCCTCCGCATGCAACCTCCAACTCTGCCACCAACTCTGACGATCATCGTTGATCTGGCCGTGAGCTAACCGGGTACCCCGTGTGACCAGTTTTGTGCGTGACTGCGATTGTCTCCGTCAGGATCTCTGTGCGAGTCTATGGATCTCTATGAAAGTCTATGGATCTATATGCGAGTCTATGTATCTCTAAATGTGAGTCTATGTATCTCTATATTCGAGTCTATGGATCTCTATGTGAGGAGTCTCTGGATCTGCTCAGAGGGGCCGCATTGATCACAGCAATCATCGCAAGAATCATCGGCGTGGGGCGATGAAAGAGTCGAAGACAGCGCGGTGATGGAACACGCGGGGACCTCTACGAGAATAGAGAGAGAGGAGGAGGAGGTGGTGGTGGGTGGGGGTAGACTCACGGGAAGAAGCGGACGGCTCGTGAACGGGGGGGGGGGGGAGAGAGAGAGAGGGAGCAAGCGTGGGTTGCGTTGGGCGCAAACAGAGACGCGCGCCGATGATGATGATGGTGGTGACACGACACGGTCCCGCATTTGTAAAGCTGTCAAGTCGCGCCCTGCAAGTGCTGCCCGCAGTCACTGTCAACCTACACACACACAAACACCACCACCACTTAGTACACACAAAGACAAAATCCCTTCTACAGTCTTAACAGACTGTTGGGGTAAGTGCTGTAAGCCAGCACCTATGAAGGTCAGAACGGCACACGAGGGGGTGGGTGGCCAGCACCACGCCCGGC